TTCCAGGACACATGTTGATGTAGAAGAGACATGAAGAAGAGGGGACATGTTGATGTAGAAGAGACATGGAGAAGAGGGGACACATGTTGATGTAGAAGAGACATGAAGAAGAGGGGACACATGTTGATGTAGAAGAGACATGGAGAAGAGGGGACACATGTTGATGTAGAAGAGACATGAAGAAGAGGGGACACATGTTGATGTAGAAGAGACATGAAGAAGAGGGGACACATGTTGATGTAGAAGAGACATGAAGAAGAGGGGACACATGTTGATGTAGAAGAGACATGAAGAAGAGGGGACACATGTTGATGTAGAAGAGACATGGAGAAGAGGGGACACATGTTGATGTAGAAGAGACATGGAGAAGAGGGGACACATGTTGATGAAGAAGAGACATGAAGAAGAGGGGACACATGTTGATTTAGAAGAGACATGGAGAAGAGGGGACACATGTTGATGTAGAAGAGACATGAAGAAGAGGGGACACATGTTGATGTAGAAGAGACATGGAGAAGAGGGGACACATGTTGATGGAGAAGATACATGAAGAAGAGGATTTTGCAGAATAGGTCCCCTTTAATATTCAGTTAATGAACAATAGGAAGCTACACTTTGGAAAACCACACAGGACAAATAACAACAACACATTAATACAAAAAAATTCAAATAAAATGGGCACAAATGCAATCAATATATCAGAAGTGTGTTATAATATCTAGTTTGTTATTTAATAAGAATGAATTAAATATCCACTTTTACATTTTTTGATGAGTCATTAATGCTGTTTTAAGTCCTGTTTATTATTTTAAATCAGACTAAATGTAATAATTAGGCGCAAAAAAACAGATTTAAATTAATTTAATAACATGTAATAATCCGTTAATGAACCTTAGCAACATAACGTTTGAAAAACTACAACACATTAATGCAAAAATACAATAGAAATAAAACAGGCATCAATTCATGGATTAAAGCAGACGTTTGTTATAAAGTATGGCTTGCTATTTAAGGAGAATTAATTACATATTTCGTTTTCCATCAAATCTGACTTGTTATTTAAGAAGAGAAAATGCGAAGTATCGTTTTCGTTTCTCCTAAAACGCTAACGTTTTTAAAGTTGCTGCGTAACAGTGAAGCTTTACTAGCTAACTAACTGAATACCAGGCTAGTTAGTTAACTTATGTAAACGACATTATGTTTATAAAAGCTGCCAAAGCTGTAAAATACTTACATGATGAATTAAAGTGATTCAATCCAACTTGTTTTAGGACATTTCTCCGATAAATCGGACCTGTAAACAAACAGCTTCAAACAAATACAGCTGAACACACAGAGGTTCCGGTTGGGAATTTCAAAGTAAAAGCAATGTTAGAATTGTATCCCAAATAAAAATAGTAAAACCACTAAATTGATCACATATTATTTATGAATGTTTTCTTTAATATATTATTGTAACATAAATGTCTTTAAATGTGTTAATTTATGGAAATGAAAGAACAAAAAGTTATTGCGAGTTTTTTTTTCTGAAGCTTGTACTTGAAGCTTCTCTCCACTACAGCTTGTTTGACTAAAACTACGGCAAGCGGGCAGAATCGCTCTTCATACAACACGCCGCTTCTAGACAACATAATAACAGTTTTTAACATCACTTATTTAAAATCCACTAAATTAGACAGTTTCAACAATATCTTAAACATTATAAAAGCTTTTACTTTACATAAAGAGTTAAATAATGTAATGCGTCATGCCACATAAACAAGGGAATTTCAAAATACAACCCTTGTGTCAAACCCAAAGGTAATAAAAACGCTTAATTTATCTCATATTTTCAGTATATAGTAGATAACTATTTTTGTTAAATAAGTATAACACACACTTCTTCAAATGAGTTAAATAAAAGAAAAAGAAAGATCAAAAACTGATAGCAAGCTTTTGTTTTGAAGGCTAGTAGTCGAACATCCGCTTGTACTCGAAGTCTCGAATACTACGATTTATTTGACTACAACTACGGAAAGCGAGTAGATACGTTGTTAACTACAACGCACTGCCTCCCGAGTTCAATACTTATAAAATAATATCTTATACTATTGAGTGTTCAATTTAAACAAAAAATCCACAATTCATGTGCTTTTTAAGTAGAAATGTCATGCGTCATGCCAAAGAACCAAACGCGTTTTCTTTAAATAGCTTCCGAGCTGCCGTACCTCAGTGACTACTGACACTTGGCGTTAAACAAACCGGTGAAACGCAGCATAAAAATAGATTTAAACTCTTTAAACATCTAATATATTCTCCCCACAACAATGAGTCGCAGTTATAACGATGAGCTGCAGTTCCTGGACAAGATCGGGAAGAACACCTGGAGGATTAAAAAGGGTTTTGTTCCCAACATGCAAGTAAGACACACTTTTAGCTGTTAGCATGTTAGCTCTCAGTTATGTATACAGGCAGTTAGCACATTTTCTGTAGACTTTAACCTGCAGATAAACGCCTATAAACATACCATAATACTTGTGATAATGTAGGCACAATAATCAGTGAAAGTACCCCCTGAAATCAGCTCCACTTTAAAGTTAAAACCTGCTGACGAAGCTCAGTTGTGCAAATATTAGCTTTAATATGACTAATAACGTAGCTGTTAAAGGGTGTGTCCTAATAAATAATCAGTGAACATGTGGAAATGTTAAAAATATAATCTATTTATTGACTTCATATGCACCCTACATAATAGTTAAACGGTATTTAATTAACCATGTTAAATTGCATATGTCACTAATAAAATAACATGGCATAATATTTCCAAGACCATCAAAATGTATATTTATAACACTATACAGTAACAATAAGTAGATTATAGCACAATAAACGTAAGGTTTTGTCAGTCTTTGATATATATATATATATATACACCTAAATATAACAAAGAAAAGCAACACATTTCCATCTTTATTTGGCTGAAAACTGATTTGTTTTGCCACTTTTTCCTAAAAGAATGCAGCTTTTAGAATAATTAATATCAATTAAACCAACAGTGCATATTTAAAACACCATCTGCAGCCAGTCTTCTTCAGCTTCCACGTATTATATAGTAACCATGAAAATAGCATGTTACCGTTGTATTTGAATGAATTGTTTTGATTGTTTTTGCGTCAGGTCGAGGGGAACTTCTACGTGAACGAGCCTCTGGAGAAGCTGATGTTCGAGGAGCTTCGTAACGCCTGTAAAGGAGGAGGTCAGCTGCGGTTCACCTCACACATTGAGCTATTCCATCACAGCAGAGATGAACTTGAACTTTAAATGTATTTATTGCTTCTGCTCTTCAGGTTTCGGAGGGTTCCTCCCCGCCATGAAGCAGATCGGGAACGTGGCGGCGCTGCCCGGCATCGTACACGTGAGTATCGTCTTAACGAGATGAATTGGAGGATTTAAGATAAGATAAGATGGAACTTTATTAATCCCTGTGGGGAAATTCAGTCGTTTAAACAGCAACAGGATAAGGATGAAAAACGGCACAGATTCACACAGATTAGAGATTAATACAATTATTTACAGTTAAAGGTGGGGTAGGTAATTCACTTCAGAAACTCTTGTTATATTCCATGGGATGCTCTTAACATCCCGATAGCAATGAATATCTGAAGAGCTTTGACAAAAAATCCATAAAAAATATCATCAGTGGAAGCTGTAGTGCTGTAAAAAGCACAACCAATCATCTGAGCCGGCTAAAGTAACTGGATGGCCTACCTGCCTGTCAGCCTTCCATCTGTGCACAAACTGATCTCTGCCCTCATTGGTCATGTGCGCGTTCGTGTGTGTTGGAGGAGGGGCTCTGTGAGGAAGAGGCAGATTTCTTCCGGTTGTGTATTTTCAAATTCTAGCGCACTCGAGCTGGTTTCTCCAGAATTACCTAACCCACCTTTAAGTAACTTTTAAAATAAGAAATGAATTAAATGAACATATCAGAATCAGGTTTATCTCCAGGTAGGTTGACACGTACGAGGAATTTGACTTGGTGTCGTGGTGCAGACATAAAAGTAAAACAACAATAAAAAAACACAGATAGAGAACTATTATAAGAAAACTATAATAACATTAAAAATACAAAAAAATATAGCAGTATTTACAATGCAATAGAATAAAATAAAATATGTGCAGTAATAATAAAAAAACAAACAGATATTGTGTACATTAATGTAATGCTTATATACATATTAAAGATATTAGATATATAGGACCGTTAAAGCTTCACACTGAATTGTACGTTGTTTATTTCGCCCTCAGAGGTCCATCGGTCTCCCGGACGTTCACTCTGGATACGGGTTTGCGATCGGAAACATGGCGGCCTTCGATATGAACGACCCCAACTCCGTGGTTTCTCCAGGTAAACACGCTTTTATAACTTTACTTATATGATGTTATGTGATTTTATACTCGTACAACGATGAAAAAACATGTAGAAAATCCAAGATACCCTTCATAAATTCACGAGAAAAAAACTTTGATATCCTCCGAGATAAAAATAATAAACGTACAAAGAAAAACAGACTTAAAAATATCAAATATTCTCAGAGACTAAATTCACAAATGTGTTTTCTTTTAGATTAAAATGATGAAAAACATACTGATTTACGAGAAATATTTAAACACTCTCAGAAGATTAAAGTCCCAGATTTACAAGCAAAACAAATCTAAAATTGTTTTGCAATTTTTTAACCTTAATTTTATGCCATAAATTCTGAGTTTTACTTGGAATATTATTATTGTATACTTATATATCTCTCTAGTGCAGACCTGTTCATTCTGCAGCTCTAAACGATGCTAACACAGTATTCATTTAATAAAGGGGCTCTTTGTCGCCCCCTGCAGGCGGCGTGGGGTTCTTCATTAATGATGCTAGCACATTATTAATATAATAAACAGGTAGAAAGGTGGACAGTAACTCATTACGCCGTGCTAGGGCTATCGTAGGTATATAAGTAAATACATAAAAAGAAGAGTGGAATATTCCATGAAAAAAATCACAAAATAACGGATTTTTTTGTTGCAAATTTCTGAAACAATTTACGATTAATTTGCTCGTAAATCGGGGACTTTAATCTCTGAGAAGTTTTAAATATTTTCTCATAAATCAGTATGTTTTTCATCATTTATAATACATAATAAATGGTCTCTCTGACGCCCCCTACAGGCGCTGTGGGGTTCTTCATTAATGATGCTAACATGTTATTAATATAATAAAGTGGCTCTCTGTCGCCCCCTGCAGGCGCTGTGGGGTTTGACATTAATGATACTAACATGTTATCAATATAATAAAGTGGTTCTCTGTCGCCCCCTACAGGCGCTGTGGGGTTCTTCATTAATGATACTAACATGTTATTAATATAATAAGGTGTCTCTCTGTCGCCCCCTGCAGGCGGTGTGGGGTTTGACATTAATGATGCTAACATGTTATTAATATAATAAAGTGGCTCTCTGTCGCCCCCTGCAGGCGGTGTGGGGTTTGACATTAACTGCGGCGTGCGGCTGCTCAGGACGAACTTGGATGAGAGCGACGTTCAGCCG